GAATAGGAGAATAAACCTTGAAAACGTGTGAAATAATTTGGGTAATTTTCAATTACCTTTTAATATTCAAGTCAAATTTAACTCTATGAGAAGCAAATTCGAACTTAAATTTTCGTGTGTCGTGAGTGTAGTTTCATTCTTATACAAAAAAGAACGGTAATTTATGTGGTATGATTTGTTCATTTGGTGATTGTACGAGTATGAAATTTCTCAACTAGACATCAAGATTGAAATATATGTGTTTATCCCACTTCTCTAAGTTGAACYAACTTTGAGTGCGATATATTCAATCGTCACATTTTGCAATTATGTATGCGGCCTTATTGCAAAGTGCCACATGACGTAGGATTTAAGAGTTTTAACCCATAAAATATTTATTAATAAATAAAAGAAGACTTTGGGAATTTAGTTGAATTTTGAAACAATTATAGATCCCATGCACGTCACACTCAAATAAAATGTTGTTTACGGGGAAACAAAACAAAGAGTTAAATGAAGCAATTGAAAAATGGGAGCAAAAACAAAAACAGAGAGTAATTCTTTTGCCTTTTATGCTACGAAATTCAATTGAAAATAAAATAATAAATACAAAAATTTGGTGTAACAAATAATAATATATTTTGATACCTCACCTCAACCAGGCAATTGTCTTTTCAATATAACCAAAAGTCCAATCTTCTAGGGCTTTCTACACCCCTAAGGTCACCTTTGAATTTTCTTTTTTCTACTCTTAAGTCCCCTTTACTTAATCGAAACGAAAATGATAAATAATTGAAAAATAGGAATTATCGTTATATTCGTTTGACGAGATTCAAAATCTATATTAATGTAGAACAATTAATAAGAAGGCAACATGACTTAACTGGTCAAACTATTACTTACTTTCTTAAAATTTGAAGGTTTGAATMTCTGYCTGTCTAATTGAACTAAACAAAATAAYAATAAATAAATAATAAGAAGTGAAAAGAAGAGATAACCTGAATATTATTCAATTGGGTATATATCATTGACTAAAAAATTAACAAAAAGTTAAAAGTATGTCCAAATTTTAATTCTAGCATCGTGAACATCATTTTGTAAAAACAAATTTGTGAAATTTTTCTCCTACCTAGTTTACCTTTTGTTTAATTATAAGTTTGGTCCCTGA